GACACAGCGTTTCAAATCACTCCGCTTCAGCACGAGTGACACAAGCTTCAAAACCTCTGTATCATTTGCCCATCACTACCCCTTGCTCCTGCTGTGCTTTCCTTTTTCTTTGGACCTCTCTTCTGGACCCTGGATCTACTCTGCCCTACCAGTCCCCTCCATACAGGCTGATGCACAGTCCCCATTAACCATCTATGCATGCTCCTGTCTCCTCAGCCATCATTGCTTCAACCACAACCAATTCAGGAGTGACCTCAGCGTCCGCAGCCCGGTCTGTAACCATCCATCTCACCATTGACTGTTTTTCTCTGCCACAGATCGACACCTGGTTACTCCATACCATTCAGCACCTATCTGTCTATTGCATTTTAAATTACACTGTAAAGAAACCCATCACTGCTTGCATCGAAGTTGGCTATCTGGGTCCATCTTTATTGCTCGTTCCTTTCCGTGTACGAGCGACCATAACAGGTGCACATTGGGAGCCATTGAACTGGAATCAGATTCCTTGTATTTTAACATATTTGGGAATAAAGTTGGATTGAATGATTGATTTTCTAGTCTCTGCAAATGAGGTTGCTGGTCCATCCACTGTTTCCACCCTCTTCCTGCAAATGCTGTTGCATCTGCTCGGTCCTGGTTGATCTGCTCCAGGCCCTCTTCTGCAACCCTCACAACCTCAGGGCTATTTCAGGCTGGAAGGTCTGGCCTGGCTCTCCTCACCTGCTGCAGCAAAGCCAAACATAGGGACCAGCAAGTATACACTCCAATCCTTGAACATCCACACAGAATTGGCCCAATTAAAGCTTTAATTTTACCCCAGTGAATTACTTCAACCTATCCTGGTAGTAGTGATGTCCAATTGACACATGACACCTGTATCGAACCACTTCATCATTTGTATGGAGTATTGGTTCATTCATTCAAAAGTTCGATTTAGTGCAATCTGGTGGCAAAATAGTATTCAGCAGAACAATGTCTGAATTATCTGATGTGTGTAACTAGGCTTTGTGTGAATGATGTGAAAACATTTGTAAAGACTGATTGGTCAGTCGGTCGAGTCTATGAACGTATGTTGTGTAGTAGGTGGAAGAAAGCATGCTTGGGGAAACAGAGGATGTGCTAGGATGGTAATATGTGCATATGTAACTAGGGCAGGGTGTGAATAAATACAAGGGATGGAGAATCAATCACTTTTATTCCTAGCTGGCTCCATAGTGATCACACACCAGCAGCAATGATCATACCAACAGAAACTACGCTGACAAACCCACATGTTGTGCATCATCTCGGGTGGCTTTATAGTACCCCTATGCCTACGCACCTGCCGACGCGTGCAGCGAGATCTCACGTCGTAACACCGTATCTACGGTTTGAACCGGTCACGGGAGTCACTCAGGCCAGCTGTTTCTGCGTCGGATGTCATCAGTCACGTGTCTTTTCGGCAACGATACAAGCCTTGAGGCAGTGGTTCACGGGAGATCCCTCTCTAAACTCGAATCATGTATCGAGTCCTCGGTGTCAGATGGCCATCACTACCTGGTAGATAATTGAACATTTAGTGCAATGCCTTTACAAACCTTGGTTTAGTAAACCTTCAGACTCTTTTATAAATGTACAAATCTGTATTCAGGCTGCTTCCCCTGGAGTCGGAGGTCCAGTAACATTGTTCTCAGTTTACAAGCACATTGTGTCCTCTGACCTTAACAGGCCTATGACACTCACCGCAAACCTCGGTTTGTAAACCTTTTTTTTGCAAGGTAAAGCAAGCAGAGTTTGGCACATGCATTAATAATACGGGACTTTCCCCATTTCCAAAGAATTAGGAAACCGCTTCTATCTGCTGATCCTTATGTCAGCTGCTGGCTCAGACTGCCCTCAGGGCTATGGGGATGTTAATGCAATTAAAGGAAAAGCTCAACAAATACACCGTCAAAAAATGTATTCATTTTGAAACAACTTATGCAACATAGTCCACTTCTGTTCTGCCCAACTGTTTGTTAATTATATTGTAAACTTACATTTTTTGCCATAAGTACATACTGTACTGTAGCTAAGTTTTGGTGCTATAGTTAACTCCTTTGTCAGACAATGATTTACACTGACTGCAAATTTAATGCGGAACAATACACAGAGATCTTGGAGCAACATATGCTGCCTTCAAGATGATGTCTTTTCCATGGACACATATGCAGATTTTAAGAAGACAATGCAAAGCCTCATACTGCCCATTACCAAGGCCTGGCTGTGGAGGGAAAGGGTGTGAGTGCTGGCCTGGCCTGCCTGCAGTCCCAATCCATCCTCAAAAGAAAATGAGTGGCACATTTTGAAACAAACTGTGCCAACAAAGACCCAGACTGTTGTAAACCTTAAGACTTGTTTTCAGGTGGAATGAGACAAAAAAATAGTCCTGACACACTTAATCACTTGTCCCTAAACATCTTTTAAGTGTTAAAAAAAGGAACAGCAATGAACTTTTTGGAGCTTTCGCAGAACATCGATGACTCTAGTTTAAAGTACACTCAGTACTATGTCCGGGGACATTTATTTGGGGCCTCAGATTTACAGACTTGGCAAACAGATTATCTGTGCTCTGCAGCTGTGTCAACACAACTGTAATTGACTGCTGCAATCATGGTTGGTTGCAAAAGAGGATCAGAAGACATGTTTTCATAACACATTTTGTAATTTCCATTTAAGGATACAAATACTAAAAATATAATGCACAGTAATGCATTTTTGTTTTATGATGAAGTGACACTTTTGAGTTTACTTATATTTTTAACTGGCCACTTGAAGAATTTGTTTTACCTTTTAAAGAAATACTCTAATGAAGACCCCGAATTGTTATTAAGAATCAGTAACAAACATCCCTGAAGTGTCTTAAACCACTTTAATTGCTTTTACACTGAGGGCCATATAAAATGAAAAAACATTTTCTAGTAGTGCACAGTGCTCCATCACTGTTGCCCAAAATATGACTTGGTCTCTGGTGCCCTACTAAACCCAACAAATTGAACAATATCCCAAAGTGAATACCAGTTTCACCTTGGAAATCCCAATAAAAATTATTTTGTTCCTGGCCCTTTGGCTCTTTGCATTGATTGCTGTGTGGTTAGTTGTTTAATCGAGCTATCACAGAAGTGGAAGTTACCTTTGCCAAGGGCACTGACACGACCCCAGACACAGACCCTGGCTTTTGGACTTGTTGCTGGTAACAGTCTGGATGGCCCTTTTCATCGTTGGTCCGGAGCACACAACATCCATTTCTTACAAAAAGACCTGAAACACTGATTAGTCTGACCACAGCACACGTTTCCACTGTGTGATGGTCCATCCCAGATGCCTCCAAGCCCATAGCAGTCGACTTCTGGACATTGTTGACATAGGGCTTCCATTTGGCACAACACAGTTTTAAGCAGCATTTATGGATGTAACTACGTATCATAGTGCCAAAGTAACCCTGAGCCCATGTGGTTATATCGCTTATAGAAGAGTGACAATTTTTGATGCAGTCTTATTTGAGGGATCGGAGAGCTTGGTCATCCAGCTTAGGCTTGGCCGTTGCCCTGTCACCTGTTTCAAATGGAATCGTCATTTGATCATTTTACCTCCTTACAGCCCTGAAATGCAGCCATCCCAACTTTTTCTGGAATGTGTTGCAGCATCAGAATTGAAGTGAGTGTTTATTTTGAACAAATAATAAAATTGATGAGGTACCACATCAGATAATGTGCTGCTGTTTTGGTTTCAATGTAATAGAGGACACAGATGATTTACAAATCATTATTTTCAGTTTTAATTTTTTGATTTTACATACCGTCCTGACTTTTTCTGATTTGGGATTGTATGCTTAGAACTCAAACTCTGCAGCATATTTCAGACTCCTTTAGAAAGTTATTTTAACAACACATTACACAGAGATTGGCAGGTGGTGATTACACATTATACTGCTTCAAATACATTTAGTTGAAACAGGCAAATGTCATATTCATGATAGTTGAACTTTAACTCTAGGTGGTGCTACAGCATCATGATAACTTTAATGGCACCAAGCCAGTGGCCATGAGTAAGTGCTTTTTCTACACTTCTTCATGTTCTTATGAAGTTTGTGCTTCATCTTGTATCTCTTGTACATAGACACAAGAAATAAAGAGGGTCATGGGCAAGATCAGATGGGTGACAGTACAATGACACTCTGAATGTGTTTAAATATAATTTTAAAAAAGTAAAGATTACTGACTTTCAATTCATTATTTACTTTGTAAATAATGCATTTAAAACTTACATGGATTTGATCAGAGAACAGGAAAAAGAGTTAAAACTGATATGCTGGCACCTTTTATATTAGTGCCCTTCAGTTAATGCTAGCATATTAACAATAACAGTGTTTATAAAACCCATCTGCTTCTTGTCACATAACCACAAGCTTCTCTCAAGTCCCATCTTTTTATTTGATGACAGTAATAGTAGTTAAATCAGTGAAAGGAAACACAGGCAGAGTGAGTTGTGTTGGCTGGGGACAGGTGCATAAAATCAGCACACAATGGATTACTTGGTCTTGATCAATGCAAAAAATTCAGGAGTATTTGTGGTATCATTCATTATTTTGGGCAGCTAAGGACACATACAGTACAATACAAATGTTGAAAATGTTCATGTTTGCTGTCTAAGTTGTGACTCAGTCTGAACATCCGTACTGAAGATGGTTCCTCCAAGTTAATGTGAACATATTGTGGTCCCTTTTTACATGTGTTGTCTCTGAAGATTGCAAAAAAAGCCACTGCCACTTGAGTTTATTTGTTTTTTTATTCATGAGTGAAATTTTCCTTCAACAGAGTAAATGTGAAAAACATGTTGAAGTTAAATTAAGTACATGTTATGTGCTTATAGCAGACCAACATTTTGCATCAGAATGAACCTGAGCAACAGTCAAGTTGTGTTACATTGCCTGTCAATGTGTTAAATGCAAACGTGTCTGCTGTTAAAGAAGACTGTCAATGTGTTAAATGCAAACGTGTCCGCTGTTAAAGAGGACTGTTCTTTCTTTAGCACATTTAAGTCTGTCTTTCAGTTTTTATGGTCCATTAAGTTCCCTGTTGAGCTGCACAGGCCATCTTATGCAGCCGGCTTGAACATGGGGTCTTCAATGAAGAGTTTCTCCACCAGGGTGGTTCCCTCAGTTGGAGGGTGACACTGTGCTGAGAGTGAAGTGGGGAAGTTCAGGATGTTTGGTTCAAAATGTCCAGGGATTTGGGGGTCAGGCCTGAGGTTCAGGGTGACTCCAATGTCACCAACAGGGACATCGGGGAAGGAAGGCAGGGTCATGGGCTTATCAATGGAGGGCAGTATCCTCACTGTGCCCACTGGGTGGTCATGGGGTGCGAACTCATGCTCAGGTTTGTGGTGATGATGGGGCAGGGTCATGGGCTTATCAATGGAGGGCAGTATCCTCACTGTGCCCACTGGGTGGTCATGGGGTGCGGATTTATGCTCATGTTTGTGGTGATGATGGTGGTGCTCATGCTCATGCAAGTGACTGTGCTTGTGGTCGTGATCCAGGGCACGCTCATGGTCGTGCTCATGAGTGTGTGTTCCTTCCTCATGATGGTAGTTATGGTGGTGGTTCAGTAAGTTAGGAAGGTGTTTCTGTGCCTCAGCATGAAACGCATGCACATGGTCGTGGTTGATCCCATGGTCATGGGAGTGGTCATGAGCGTGCCTGTAGGGGCTGTCTGGGTCATGATCATGAGTGTGGTGGTGGTCAGCATGGTCAGCATACTCCTGTCCTTTTTTGTGATCACTGCGGCACTTGGTGTGGTCGTACATGTGGTCATGGCCTGGTGTGTGGTCATGGCCTGGTGCGTGGTCATGGTGGTGTCCGTGGTCATGGTCGTGTGCGTGGTCATGGTCGTGTGCATGGTCATGGTCGTGTGCGTGGTCATGGTCTTTGGTGTGGTTATGGTCTTTTGCGTGGTCATGGTTGTGTGCGTGGTCATGGTCTTTGGTGTGGTTATGGTCTTTTGCGTGGTCATGGTCTTTGGTGTGGTCATGGTCTTTTGCGTGGTCATGGTTGTGTGCGTGGTCATGGTCTTTGGTGTGGTCATGGTCTTTTGCGTGGTCATGCCTGTGTGTATCATTGTGGCTGTGGTCAAGCTCTTCACCCAGCAGGTGGTTTTCCTTCTCTCTCTCAGCAGCCTGAAGAGCACATTAAGACAAAATGACTGATGTGTGGCACATAAAAATGGTTAATTGGATTTAAAACATATGTAAGCTCTAATGTTGTAAAACCTAACTTTAACTACATAAAAAGAATACAGATCTGTCATCCAGTCTTTTAGGGCAAGTCCAAGTAAAATCTCATGAATTCCAGTTCCAAGGGTAGCCTTATTTTTGTAGGTTTGGCCATTATTTCTATATGATAACATTAACACCAAAGTAACTGCTGAGATCACTTAGAGAATACAATATATTAAAATTCATATACAATTCATTCAAAAACTTTCAATTAACACAGAAATTTAAATAATTGTGTATCATAATAATAAGAGAGTGTAAATCACTGTGACACAGTTTGTGAATCTTACCTCAGACTCATAGATCTCACACACTACATTGACTGTATCCTCATTAGTGGAAGTGTGGATGAGGGAGCCCTTACAGAAGCCCTCGTGCTGAAGACAGAAGGAGGGAGAAGAAGGGTGGTTATTAGATTTTTTAATAGATAAAAACAAACTGCATTTCAAAGTAATCCCCTTCTATAATAAACTTGCTCACTGATATGAGAGCAAACTGGTCCAGAGCTACATATGCACAGATACTTGCAGAGGTCTGTTACAGCATTGAAACATCAAATAACCCCCTGATTCATTGCACTTAAAAGTGGAAAGCCAGGATAAAAATTGACCTTTAATTTTTTTCTGTCTCTCAAGGGTTTTGTGACAATACAAGCCAAATAGTCTTGAGCACATACAGGCACCACCCTTAGAATTAGTAGAAATAATTTGATCAAGATAGAATGAAATCATTTGTCAGGACTCACAGCGAACTCGCAGTCCATGAGGCGGCACTTATCAGCCATGTTTGCTTCTGTGCTCTTGTTACAGATGGTCTCCTGGATGGTGTACTCTACATAGTAATTCATCCCTGTTCCATGCTGGATATGCACATAGAAAGAGAGAAGAAGAAAGAATAGGCATAACAATAAGAGCTCTTTGGTCAGGAGTTGGTCAAGTGGCCAGTCAATAAGCTAAAGAACTGCAAATGTTTGCTGTAAATCTGAATCTATCTACATTTCCTGTGTTCAGAATATATACAATGGGATTTTGTTGTTGTAGATGTGAAATGCTTACTCCGGCAGTAGCGCGAGTAACAGCGTGCAGAGCGAATAGATTGCCCAGCTCATTCTCCTTGTTGAACTTCTCCAGTGAGAGAGTCACAGCCTTCTGAACCTTTGTGTTTTTATTGTCGACTAAAGATGCACAGTCAGGACATATGCTATTCACCCTAGCTGCAGGAACTGAACAGAGAAGAAGCGGATTTCAATACACACATATCACAAGATTGTTTTTGCACTGGATGAAATCAAGTTTTGTGTCTTTTGGAACAGAGTTGTTTTCCACATTATTATTTATGCTGAATTTCAATGGTTTTGCTTTTATTATTGGTATTTCTATCTTACCTGGTCTGACAACACATCCATATTTGTAGAGACGCACAACTTTGTGTGGCTTACTGATGTAGATGATAGCTTTACACTGTCCATATACCTGCAAGGACAAACACAGCTTCAGACTTCTGAGGCCCCCTCCCAAACAGCAGGTTTATGAATGTGTTCCTTTGTGTTACCTGTTTATGAGTATGTGTGCATGCTAACGTGTGGATGGATGTTTTCTCACCGGTGTTTCAGGGGTGGGACGAATCACACAAGTGCTCAAGTCCTTCTTTCTCCTGACAACACTGCAGTTGGTCTCCTCAACATCCAGAGTTAGATAGAAAACCACACCAACCTCTTCCTGTGAGCACACACACACACATCCAGTGTACAGGAGCCACACATTGTGCATTTAAAGAACAGTAATTCTAATCAGTGACACCTTGTGTGTGATTTTAAAATGGCTGATAAAAATGAAGCTACAATAATGCTTTCACACTCAGTTACCTGTGTTTCCATAACAACTGTTACCATTTCACTAATGTACTGACTTATGTTTCACACAGTCAAAACAAATCTGTCTTCTACTGTGCAGATGACACATTGTTAATAACATCCTTGCCTTATACATCTGATGTCTCATTAGTAAGTGTACTCATAGTATACTCTTAGACATCACCTTTTGTCACCTTCCATCATGTCAAATGTCTATAATCACAGATTGTTTTGGCCTTTCATGCCAGTTTATTTAGTAATCTTTTACTTGTCTAATGCAATATGCCTGAACAGAAGCAGTGGACAGCAGAATCAGAGAGAATTTCAACATGTCTTCTTTGACCAACTTATCTAATTTGCAAGTGACAGCAAGATTAAACAGTATACATTTTAACTGTGCATTTGTAGAGCTATCTCCTGGTTTATTGTAACCTTTTAATGTCTCACATGCATACACTTTAAACTGTACTAGATGACTGTAATGGGTAATTTTGCTCATTAATGATTAATTACTTGAACTGGGGATTTATTGAGTAGAATTGCTTTCTGATGTTAGTTTTTCTCCATATGTAAAGTGCTTTGACACATATGGATTGTATCCCAAGATGGGAAGAGAAGTGCCTAGGTAATCAAGCTGTACTGCCCATTATTTTAACTTCAATTTTTAATTCTCCATTCTGTTTCAATAAGTGAAAAACTGGCTGAAGCTAAAATTCCTACCTAAAAAGTCTCAGTTTTATAGAAAAGTTGTTTTTTTTGCATTGCTATGCTGGTGCTCAGTGAAGTGACTCACATGTTTTGCCAAGTACACGTTGGACAGGCGGTGAAGGCTAAAGATGTAGCCAGTCTTCCGGTCCAGGTTGATCTTGGTGAGAGCCAGTTTTGCAGCACCCAATGCTGATGGGTCTTCACACGACCCCTGCTCCAGGTCAGTAGTGTTCACCGGTGCACTGTGGATGTGCACACACGCCGCCAACACCAACAACAGCGACAATAGCACACAGTGCTTCATGGTAAAGGCCTGGAACAACTCTGTGTCTCAAAGACATGTCCAGTGACCTTTTATATCCTGCTGCTAGCCCACCCACTCTCATGTCACCTCAGGCAAATATAGCCATTGACCTCATCCCTTCTAAAAATGCACAGTCATCTCTGGGGATGCTGCATCTGTTGATCTATCTTCCACCCAATCAACTACTGTATAGATTTGCACAATGGAGCTTATCAGTTGGGAGATAATTAATCTCGCAGTCATGCTCTTTTCTCCGTGATTGATACAGACGGGGCTGCAAGCAACTTGATCCACTCTGGGCACTAAACTTAGTTTAATTCAGGACCAGGCTTAAAAGTCATTCAGGTACACAGCACTGACAAGATTACAATAGTCTTAATCAAAAAGTTACAGACTGATATCAAATAATCAAGCTGAGTATGTAGATTAGTATTCAAACATACTGTGCACTCTGTAAGCAGCTACCAGCTGATCTAAGCATGATCAGGTCACCACTGCCATCAGTAAACACAGCCTTGATTTTACATTATGTTGTACCATTGCTTAATAGGGGACCCTCAAATGAACTCAACAACTGTTGCCTTATATGTAAACTATATCCATCCATACATACATATATATATATACTTTCAAAAACTTGCCCATATTGAATTTGATGAGAAATCGTGTGATTGTTTTGTCTGATAGATCACAAGCTGTAAAAATGGAATAGTTTGCAGGGAAAAAAACCCAAAACTGGCTGTTTTCATTTCTTTGTCTTGGTTTAAACTGCTTATAACCTTATAACATTTTACAGTATAAATGTCAGTGTAACAGATGTTTTAGATACTGTGTTTTAGTATGATTTTGTTTGTGTTGATTTTGTGTGTATATTTTAATGTGATTTTGGATTTTTAATACTGATTTTATTTGATTCATGTGTATATGTTTATGACTGTTTTGAAGGTGTAAATTGTATGTCAAGGCACAATTAAGAAAGAAGGTTTCTGTCCTGAAAAGATCAAGGTGACGATGATGATAATATCATAGTGTACTGTACTGTGACCTATGGCTTAGCATTTCTGTGAGCGCTGAATGGGAACTTCAGTATCTAAAATATTATTTATATCACTGAATGTTACCCAGTGTTTGCAGAATATCAACAATCAGTTTTGAAAGTCTGCTGATTAAAGCATCATTCTCATTTCATAACATTGTTTACACCGAGGATGAAAACTGCACAAACCCAAAGATATTACTCTTCACCACATTCATGTACTTTTACCCAGTATCACTTCTAAAATTTTAGGTTCTTACTAATCAACTGCTATACTGAATGAGACAATCACTGCTGGGCCTGTGATAACTGTAGGCACTGCAGATAAAATATGTTGACCTTTGTCATAGAAAAGCAATCAATCCATGGACTCAGTGGGCTAAGAATCAATATGCCCTCTGCTACTGCTGTGTTGAAATTTTGTATCCTTTCGTAAGAATTGTTGGGACATATTGTACACACCAAACTGAATTAAGTACTTTAAAATGATGGTAAATTACAGATCTTCACATACTGAGGGTGCCACAGACAAATCCTCTACACCACTTTGTCATTTTTATTTGCATGAGTGGTGTTTGCATCGAGTAGGTGAGCAGTGTTGCAATGTAAAGTGCTGTGTTTACTGTATTTGTGAGACCTATTTGTCAGAGGGTGAAAAGAATGAATTGGACACAGATGAAAACATTTCATATGAGAGAAGAGGGAATTAGGTTAGAGTATAAGAATAGTTAAAAGTTGCTACTAGTTTGTTTTTCATCTTTCTTTGCTGGAGTAAAGGGGCATTTGACCAAGCGCTTCAATGATGTGACTTTTAGGCCAAAGACATATCCACATTAAATTTAGGTTTTAAAAGGGCAATGAACATTTTTGGAATTATGCTTTTCATTTCCAGATAAAGAAAGAAAAAAGAGTAAAGTTGGAAGCATAGTGCTTTACCTGTGACTGCATCACCAGGTGTATGTGTACAGTGTGCAGACAAAGAGCAATGTACATACAGTATAATCATGACAACCTTTGGCTCCTACGCTAACGCCTCTGCCAAGGGATTACCTACATGAAAGTCAGACTCCCCATGCCCAGCAACAGCAGATTTAAGATCTCATAATGAAGTCTGATTGGCAAAGATTGACTGATACAGATGTTCTAGTAAGGTCATGGTGGGTCAGCAAAATGAACAAACCAGCTGAGTAAGGATTCCTGGGCTGACCCATGCTCCTAACCAAGGAACGGGGGAAAGATAACAAAACATAACGGCTAACCTCACCCCTGCAGCAACTACTGACTAAGGGCTTTAGCACAACAGGACATGATTATTTACATTGAGAAGGAACAACACTGCAAAACAATATGCAGACAAATCTGCCAGCTGTTAAAAGGAGAGCCTGGTTGGACTTGGAGAAGGCAGCTTTTGAGCATCTGTGTCGTGTTTATTTGTTTGAGAGGTGACCAATCTGCACCTAAGTACACAACCGCACAAAAGTACACAAAGTTCCAGTTGAAAGCCAAGTGTTCCTTTCGGGTCTTAGAAATACTGTATCAGCTCTCCTGGATTTTCTATGAGAGTACACTATCTTATAGTAGACACAGTGTGGTGCTACAGTACAGTGAAACAGCGGCAACTGACACTGGGCTGAACTTGCACATAGAGTTACTCTGTGTGTGTGTGTGTGTGTGTAGAAAAATGGTATTTTTTTCTTGAGGTAATCATTATGTCATTATGTTCAGGAATATGAATAACACATACATATATACTGATATACTACAGTAATATAATGAGCACATACAAGGACATGACCTTACACATCATAATAATGTTATGTGTCTGCAGGATGTGTAACAAAACAGCTGTTGTAACTCTGACAGGGCCATTCCTTATACTAAATGCTATATATTTTGACAGTGTAAACTTGCATTTTACTACAACTACTAGTATACCTTTGGTGAAGTACATTTTAAATACATGACTTTTACTTGTAAGGGAGTAGGCCTACTATCACATTCTTCTTTCAGATTCCACCCATAATGAGCAGTGCAGCTGCAGGTTTCTGCCATGCACTTCTATGTTGAATTACCTTTAAAGGATATAGCTGCTGCACCAACCGTCTGATTTTAATGAACCATGCAGGGAGAAAACAGCACATGTTGTTACTGGCTCACCAGAGACTGAATAGTTCATGGGGAATGGCAAAATTATTTGTTGACTTAAAACACAAGAAAATGCTTGTCCATCCTTTTTTACTGAACTGTTTGTATTGTTTAAATAAGTGTGCACAATTGTTTAAATATAAATTTTTGCTCTGTGTACTGTTAATTGATGCTGACACTGAAGCTATTTTGTAGCTTGTAGACCATGGTTAACATCAGTATAAGCATCATGTTTCGGATGATTTTGAAAGTCGCATAACTATTCAAATAAATTGTGAATGATTTATGCAAATGAAAAACTATGATTTGTAACTGAAATGACTGATGCAAATTACAGCTAAATGGCCTGAAACAGCATTTTCCATGGCAAACAATGGGGAACATCACTGACTGCAGCCTACATGCGGAGTCCCTCAGGGTTTGTACCTTGGACCACGGCTATTCAACCTGTACACGCTCTGTTTGGGTCAGATCATACATGACAATAACACTGTCTATCATAATTACGCATTTGACACTCAGATTTACTTAGCTCTGTCACCAAGTGACTATGGTCTCTTAGACTCTCTCTGTCAGTGCTTAGAGCAAGTAAATACCTGGATGCATTCAAATTTCCTTAATTTAAAAAAACACCAGACTGAAGTCATTGTTTTTGGCAACAAGAAGGAAAGGACAAAACTTACAGATCGCCTTGATTGTACAGCTCTAAACACAAAACTCAAGTGAGAGATCTTGGTATCAAAATTGACTCAGCTTCACCAGTCACATCAAGGCCAAAACTAAATCAGCTTTTTATCATCTCAAACAAATAGCAAGATTCAGAGGTCTCATGTCCAGACAAGACTTAGAGAAACTAATTCATGCCTTCATCTTCAGCAGGCTGTACTATTGGTCTTTTTTCTGGTCTTCCCAAAAAGACTGTTAGACAGTTTCAGCTCATTCAGACACTGCTGCCAGAGTTTTAACCAGAACTAGGAGAAATGAACACATTACACCTGTTCTTAAATCCTTACACTGGCTAGCAGTTACCTACAGAATAAATTTTAAAGTGCTTCTGCTAGTTTATAAATCACTCAATGGTGTGGGGCCAAAATAAGTCTGAACTCCTTGTAGAATACATACCCAGCAGGGCTCTGAGATCCTTAGGAAGCGGTCAGCTGGTAGAAGCTGCTTTCTGCTACTATGCTGCACACAGATGGAACCAGCTTCCTGATGACCTTAACGTGCCACAGCTCTAGACACATTCAAGTATCAACTGAAAACGCTGCTGGCTTCCTGTGCTTTTGTTTGCCTGGTTCATAAGCCGCACTTTCTGCTCTCTAACTGCTAGATTTCTGTTTCAGATCTTTTATTTTGTCTTTTTGATTTTATTTTCATTTTAACAGGTTTTATTCTGATTTTTATGCTTATTGTTTTAATACTGTTACTGTTTTTCCTTGCCTCTGTAAAGCACCTTGAATTGCCTTTGTGTATGAAATGTGCTATGTAAAATAAGTTGCCTTGCCTAATGCTCCAAATTACATACTTTATGACTGGTTAATGGACGCTGTGTGGCCATTTTAATGGCGGGGGGAAAAAAAAACAGGAAATTTGCACATTAGTGGCTCAGTCCATTAACAATCAATATGAAAGTAAAGATGATTATTGGGAAAGTGCTACAATATTTACATATAGACAACTGATGATTATAAGCCATCAGTGTTCATTAGAGTGTGCTGTACAGTTGAATTAATGGACAAGTAATCCCAGCTAGTTGGTGCAGTGATTAGCAGTGTTGCCTCACAGATGGTAATGTGAGTGTGAATGGTTGTCTGTCTCC